TAAATCGACCTCAAGTCACAAGATACAATCACTCCCTGACTCTTAACCAATTTCATTGAGTAGTTTAAGGTATTTTGTCAGTATGTAAACAGTAAACCAAATTAGTGAATATGCTCACAACATTAATGAGTATGTTTGAAAGTTCATGGCGTAAGGTGCGGCTGTCATTTATTTGGATATCTCTTCCCTGATCTCTTACATAACATATGTTTAATTGTGGTATTTGTTATAGACAAGGTGTCATCTCTTTCGTTGAACACTATGAAATTAAAGGACAAGTGTTTGTGGGTGTTATAAACGCGTTGTTACGGATCGGGAAATCGCCGGAATCGACAAAGCAAGAATACGAAAGTGAGAATCGAAAAACACAGACACACGATTTACGTGGTTCACTAACACAATGTGTGTTAGCTACGTCCACGGGCGAGAGAGAGCCAGTTTCACTATATCGAGGAGATTACAGATTACAGAGGAGTATGAGAAGTATTTATATAGTACTTCTCCATGTGGGTCTAAACCTAATCCAATCTGGCAAAGGAAACGGTTACAGACCAGGCCCAGAACCCGAACCCAAATAACATTGAGACCCCCGATTACCAGTCGTAGCGGCTGATAGTCCGATTCAAGTCACATCAACAAATCTCCACCTTGACTTGAATCCTCTTCCTCTAAAATCTTTGATGTACTCTGCTCCTTCTCTCTCTCTCCCCCGCCATCAATGCCCCGCAGGGCGGAGTCACCCACTCAAGACATTCAGCAAGTCCAAGCAGTGTTGGAACTTGCCATGTGGAACCGGCTTCGTGACCATATCAGCAGGATTATCCGTGGTGCCAACCTTCTTCACCTTAATCCTCTTCTCTGTCCTCAAGAAATGATACCTCACATCGATGTGCTTAGTCCTCTCATGGTGGACTTGATCCTTGGCCAAGCATGTTGCACTCAAACTGTCGCAATACACCACTGCCTGATCATGATGTAGACCAAGATCACCAACCAATCCCTTCAACCATATTCCTTCCTTAGCAGCTTTTGTCAACGCCATATACTCTGCCTTAGTAGTAGACAGTGTCACCGCCGACTGCAAAGTTGCCTTCCAGCTCACTACAGAACTCTCAAGAGTGAATACATAACCGGTCATCGATCTCCTCGTGTCAACATCTCTAGCATAGTCCGAGTGAGAATACCCAGACACCAAGCACTCTGTATCACTTCCGAAGCTAATCCCCACATCAGGTGTACCCTTAAGGTACCGGAAGATCCTCTTCACAGCCTGCCAATGCTCCTTCCCAGGTTGTATCATAAACCTGCTGACAACACTAACAGCATGTGCAAGATCAGGTCTAGTGCATACCATAGCGTACATCAAGCTACCTGCTGCACTAGCATATGGGACTCTCGACATGTACTCCTTCTCAGACTCTGACTGCGGTGCATAAGCTGAGGATAGATGAACATTTGAAGCACTAGGAGTATTTAAGGGCTTTGCTGAAGACATGCCAAACCTCGACAGTATCTTCTGGATGTTGCTCTTCTGTGACAAGAAAAGCTTCTTCTTCGACCTGTCCCTGTAAATCTCCATACCCAAGATCTTCTGAGCAGCTCCCAAATCCTTAATCTCAAACTCAGCACTGAGAAGCCCCTTTAACTTCTGGATATCAGACTTTGACCTCGCCGCTATGAGCATATCATCCACATACAGAACAAGATAGATCATCGAACCATCGTCCACCTTGTTGTGATACACATAACAATCATATGGACTTCTGCTGTAGCCCAGCTCAAGCATGTAACTGTCAAATCTCTTGTACCACTGCCTAGGAGACTGCTTAAGTCCATACAAGGACTTCTTCAGCTTACAAACATAGTCTTCTTTTCCTGGAACCTCGAATCCTTCTGGCTGAGTCATGTAAATTTCTTCCTCCAACTCTCCATGTAGGAAAGTTGTTTTCACATCTAGCTGCTCGAGCTCCAAGTCATAATGTGCCACTATTGCTAGTAGCACTCTGATCGAAGTATGTCTGACCAGTGGTGAGAAAATCTCATTGTAGTCAACTCCTTCCCTCTGCGAGAAGCCTCGTGCAACCACCCGAGCTTTAAATTTCATGCCCTTTTTAGAAGTGATTCCTTCCTTCTTCTTGTAGATCCACTTGTTTGTAACAATCTTCCTTCCCTGTGGTCGTTTGACTAGCTCCCAAGTCTGATTCCTGTCATGGGATTCCATCTCATCTCCATTGCGGCAAGCCACTGATCAGCTTCACAACCCGAAGCTGCTTCTCTATAGGACTGTGGCTCTCCTACATCCACTTCTTCAGCAACCTGAAATTAATACGCCACCATGTCCTCGAAGCCATACCTCTGTGGAGGTACTCCTGCAGTCGCTCTCTTCGGTCTACTGGAAGCAATAGACTGTTGAGCTCCTGCACTGGACTCTGAAGTTTCTGGCTCTGCAGAGACATCCTCATCATGTTGATCTTCTCCACCTTGGTGCTCAAACTCACTCTCATTGAGAGTTTGCAGCTCCACCTGCTTATCAACATTCTTGCTACCTTCAACAACAGTAACCTTCAACATGGGGTTAAACATAGACTTCTCATCAAATATCACATTTCTACTGAGTATAACCCGATGCTCAGAAGGTGACCATACTCGAAATCCCGTAACTCCATCTCCGTAACCCACAAATACACCCTTCTTTGCCCTTGGGTTCAGTTTACCCTCATCCACATGATAATAAACAAGACACCCAAAAACTTTCAGTGAGGAGTAATCAGCAGGCTTACCATACCACACCTCATAAGGAGTCTTCAACTCGATACATGTGTGAGGTCCACGGTTGATCAGGAACCACGCCATGTTCACTGCTTCTGCCCATAATCTTCTCTCTAGTCCAGCATTAGAGAGCATGCACCGTGCTCTCTCCAACAATGTCTGGTTCATCCTTTCTACAACGCCATTCTGCTGGGGTGTATCTTCACAGTCCAATGACTGGCAATCCCTTCATCCTTGCAGAATTCGTTGAACTCAGAATTACAGAACTCCAGACCATTGTCCGTTCGCAGCTTCTTGATCTTCTTCCCGGTCTGATTCTCCACCAATGTCTTCCACTGCTTGAACTTCGTGAAAGCCTCACTTTTCTACTTCATCATGAAAATCCAAGTAAATCTCGAATAATCATCAATAATAGACAGAAAATACCTGCTGCCTCCAATGGATTCAACTCGTGAAGGACCCCAACAGTCGGAGTGGAGGTAATCTAGTATCCCCTTCGTTCGGTGGATACCCTTTTTGGGAAACTTGTTGCGATGTAGCTTCCCAAACACACAATGCTCATAGAATTCCAAGTTCTGCACCTTGTGCCCGCAAAGAAGATCCCTCTTCGATAGAACTTGCATCCCTCGTCCACTCATATGCCCTAGTCTCATGTGCCAGAGAGTGTTCATATCTTCCCGATGAACCTGAGATGATGCAACTGCAGCAGAACCAGGCAACGGTTGTTCGCCAGTCGCCAACTCGAACGGGCTCATGCTCGTAGCTTCACTTCGGTGTAAGTTGTAGGAGAATTTGGCTACATCCAATAGCTTCACCCAATCCTTCTGGTTGGCACTCATATAATGCCTCAAGTAGACCTCCACCAAAGCATTGACCCGCTCGGTTTGCCCATTTGTTTGAGGACGAAAGCTCATGGAGAAGTTGAGATCGAAGCCCATCATCTTGAACAACTCCCTCCAAAAATTGCAGGTGAAGCGGCCATCTCTATTGTTGACGATGCTAACCGGGATGCCCCAATACTTCACAACATGCTTGAAAAACTAGCAGACTGCATCCTCGGTCTTCATATCTTTGGGCCCCGCGATGAAGATGCCATACTTCCCAAGGCCGTTGTGGAGTGGGTAATGGATCCAACAAGCCCGCCAGAATCCGCTGCTCCATCTTGTCTTGCTGGCAGACAAGGAAAGTATTGATGTAGAGTTTCACGTCGTCCTTCATACGAGGCCAATAGTAAGCCTCCTCGATTAGAGCTTGTGTGTGCTCAATGCCGGGATGACCAGCCCACTTGGAGTCGTGACACTCCTTCATGATCTCCCTTCGTATGTTGTCCCACCACGGCACGAACACTCGTTCCCCCTTAGTCACGATGAATCCACCTTTCATCCAAAACCGTCGAGTCTTCCCTTGCTTGATGTACTCGACCATGGTTTTGGCAAAGGGGTCGTACCCAAGGCCTTCTTCAATCCGCTCCTTCAAGGGAAATTGCAGTTGGTTGATGGCGGCAAGTGTGCTCTTTCGGCTAAGAGCATCGGCAACAAAGTTGGCTTCCCCGGCTTGTATTCCAGTACAAAGTCGAACTCCGCGAGGAAATCTTGTCACCTTGATTGATTGGGCGTGAGCTTCTTCTGTGTGAGGAAGTAACTCGTCGCCACATTGTCTATCTTTACCACGAACTTCGACCCAAGCAAGTAATGCCTCCACGTTCTCAAACAATGGACCACCGTCGTCATCTCCTTCTCTTGCACGGCATATCTCCTCTCTGCCTCATTGAGCTTGCGGCGCTCAAATGCAATTGGGTGCCCCTCTTGCATCAACACTCCACCGATTGCAAAATCGGAAGCATCTGTTTGCACTTCATACGCCTTGGTTGGATCGGGAAGTGCTAGCACCGGCTCCTTCTTCACCGCATCCTTTAAGGCTTCAAAGGCTTCGCGGCACCGATTCGACAATTCCCAAGCCTTGTTCTTCTTTACAAGATCCGTCAAGGGTATTGCTAGAGCGGAGTATCCCTTGATGAATCTCCTATAATAGTTGGCCAGGCCGAGGAATGATCGCAACTCGGTGACCCTCGTTGGTGGCTCCCATTCTTGTATCACCTCCACCTTGGCTTCGTCCATCTTCAATTTTCCTCCACCAATGATGTGGCCGAGGAAAGGAACCTCCGCGGCCGCAAACGTGCACTTCTCCTTCTTGACGTAGAGCTTGTTGTCTCGAAGGACTTGGAATACTTGTCATAAGTGCTCGGCATGCTCATCAAGTGTGTTGCTGTACATCACGATGTCATCCAAATACACCACAACAAAGCGATCAAAGAACGACTCGAATACTTGGTTCATCAATGTGCAAAATCTAGCAGGAGTATTGGTTAGACCAAAAGGCATAACTAGGAACTCGTATGAGCCATACCTCGTCACGCAAGTGGTCTTCGCCTCGTCCCAGTCGGCTATCCTCACTGGATAGTACCCCAATCGAAGATCAAGCTTCGTGAACCACTTCGCTTCTCCGAGTTGATCAAAAAAGTCGCCAATGTTAGGGATGGACCACTTGTTCTTCACCGTGAGCTTGTTAATAGCTCGATAGTCGATGCACATCCGCAACAAACCATCTTTCTTCTTCTGGAACAACATGGGTGCTCCATTGGAGGATTTCGACTATTGGATGAAGCCAGCATCCATCAACTCCTTGAGTTGCTTCCTCAATTCCTCCAACTCGGGAGGGGCTATACGATAAGGTGCTCTTGCTGGTGGTGTTGCCCCCGACTCAAGCTCGATCTTGTGATCGACTTCTCTTCTTGGCGGGAGCTTCTTTGGAAACTCCTTTGGCATCATATCCATGAACTGCTCCAACACGCCCTCGATGAGAGGTGTTGGAGCCACCAAGCCTCCTTCTTCCTTCGATTGCAAGGTGACTAGGAACCTGGGTTCCATCTTCATTCCTTTCACCAATTGCATGGTCGATAGAGCTCTTCTCAACCCTTCTTCTCGCAACAATTTCACCGCGCAAAATTTGTCTCCCTTATCAAGGTAGAGAGTTTTGGAATTCATCACCATCATTGCTGCCTCCTTCACCATGAAGTTGCAGCCAAGGATGACCGGATGATCATCCATGGTGATGACGCTGAAGTCGGAAATACCCTCCAAACCCTCGATCTTCAAGGGCACGTTTTTGGAAACCCCATGGATTGGTATTGCCTCGGAGTTGACGGTCTTGAGCGAACCTTGCTTCTTCTCATAAGCAATCCCCAAGCGCTCCACCTCCTCCACTTTAAGGAAGTTGTCGTTCGCACTGGTGTCAACCAATGCTCTTGCCTTGAATTGGGTGATTACAAATAATCTCTCGTTGTCGACCTCCTTGGCGGCCGATTTGACGGCGCCTAGCCTCCGTATGGAGCCAATCTTCCCATCTGCTTCCATAGCATTTTTCTTGGTCCCCCGTTCTTATTTCTCCAAGGTTGCTAGCTTGGTCTTCGTTGGACAATCCCGCACCTTATGTGGACCGTTGCAAAGGAAACAAGAGATGGGTTTATCATGGTTACCAGGTCTCGCTCCTTTGCTCGAGCCTTTCCCTTCTTTGGAGTGTTGTCGATGATCTCCACCTCCTTTGCTCTTCGAGTTCTTCAACTCACTTGGCCTCTCGCTCTTCTTATACTCCGTGAGAGCCTCTGTCGTTGCCAAGGCAGTAGCAAGATCTTGCACTCCACGCCTCTCAAGCTCCAACTTCGCCCAAGGCTCAATCCGAAAAGGAAGCCAAACAAAGCCTACTTATCCGGAAGATCGGGGATCTCACTCGAAGCTCGTCACACTCTTCCCTTACTTCATCCACTTGGCCTCGAACGGTCTCCTCAATGAGTCGATGGCGTTGGTGATGATGGTCACAAACTCGTCTCTGAAGGCTTCCAACCCCACCTCCAAGCCCGCCATTCGAGTGCTCATGCCTTGCATGTCGCCCTTCAAAGTCTGCACCTCTGCGCTGACTTGATCAAAGTTTGACTCCATGTCCTCGAATATGGTGGTGTGCTTGGCAATGTTCGTCTCTGCTTTCGCGAGCCTCTCCTCGATTGCAACCAAAGGCTCTCGAGTAGATATATCTCGCTGCTTCGTGTTGTTTGGATCCTTCTTTTGCTCACGACCGCGTTGTTGCTCATCGTTGAGAACTTCGTTTCCGGATCCATCCATCTCTTCGAGGTTCTCTCTCACTTGATGAGCTACGACCTTGGCTCTGATACCACTTGTCACGGACTTCGGAAGTCTATGTCTGTGACAGTGTGCAGGAAGTCCTTTCGCGCAGGGCCTCCAAATTAAGTGATCTCGAGGGTGTTCATTATGTATAATGTCTATTACTTTTATCGTAGCTCAATGAATTAAATGTTTAGCATAAAGATCGATATCACAATTAAGATCACATAGCACCTTATTTAAGCCACTGTCGATTCGATGAGTTACTATGTCACATGAAATAGGTTCAGTTATTGGGATTTCACTGTCGCTAATAACCTAATTAACTGCATATCATTGTATTAGTGGCCAGGCAACACAAAGCATTAAGCAATTTCATGTAATAGAGATCGGAAGAAAAGAAATATGAATCAATCTATCAAGTCTAGAAATACCTACATCCTATAGTGTTTCCCCCATAAATTGGGGTTTAGTTCATGACGAAAATAAAACACACAATCATATTCTTGTTCGTCATAAAACTAATAAAGGCAAGGGGCGAAAATACTCGAGGAGAACCCAGGTTGCGATATGATGCCCGTCGAAAACTCAATGCTTCTCCTACGCTCGCGATCGCCCAGCTCTTTCCCGATCTTCGTCCGCTTCCTTCGCACAAGCTGCTCTCTTTCTTAGGAATGACAATGGGGCAGGTCCGGGTCGGGTATCTCGATACCCATACCCGCCCTGTGGCAGGTTGGGTCTAGGTCGGATAACTTATCATGGGGAGCGGGTCGCGGCAGGTCGACCTAATGGTTATGCAATTTATGTGAAAATATTTAAAAATATTCATTATTTTCATTTAAAGACAAAGAAATAAACCAATAATATGATAAAATGTAGTTAAAGTATTGGAGAAATTGAGGTTTTCACTTATTTACAACTTTATTATAGCTAAATAATGAGGTCATATGAGGAAAATTTTAAGTAATCTGACTAAGATTACATGTCATTTAGACAAAAACGGATCAAAAATGGGGCGGATCAGGACAGGTCGGATCGACGAGAGGTACCAATGCACGCTCCGCCCCACCTACAGGGCGGATCAAACCCACCCTAAAACAGGCCAAACAAGTCGAATAAAACATCAAAATTACCATCTACTCTTTCTCCTCAATTCCTTTAAATTCCCTTCGAGCTCCATCTCACTAATTCCCGTTTCGGTCCCAGTTAATTGCTTGTCCCAGAAATTCCACCCAAAGACTTCCGGTCCCAGTTAATTGCTCTCTCCCCTTTTCCGTTTCTTTAGCCTTTACCCTTGGCCAATTAATTCCCTCCTCCACTTTCGCCCCAGACCAGGAAAGAAAAGGGCCGCCCTTCCTCATGATCGGTCCAATTAATTGAAGAAAAAGCCCATTCGGTCCAATTGAGTTATTCCATCCAACAATGAATTTCTCATTTCATTTACCTCAAACATATAAAATATTTGACACTTGAAGTAACGGTTATATTACTATTACGGGCTTAGTTAGACCCAAAAACAAACATTATATGCCTCAAACATATCGTGAAATAATTACATTCAACACACAAAATCAAGATGAGATGTTTTCGACAATTATCAAAACTTAACCAAGCTTTGCCATTGAAATGTGAATCAAGGTAAAAATAGTCATAAAGAAATGCATAGTAAGCAACAACTTGTTTCCACAACAATGATAACCTCCTGTTAAACATAGTGCAACAGCGGTTTAGAAAGAGACCAAAAGCTAACAAACCGTTTGGTATAAATGAATTCCATAAGTTTTTAGAAATTCATTTTGAAATGAAATTTTTTTGTGTTTGGTATTAAAATGAATTCATTTTCAATTCTAAATTTTGAATTCTACGGAATTGGAACTAGTTATAGCAATTCCGAGGAATTAAGATAGAATTTTCAAATGAATTCCACAAATATTTACTAATTATAATAGAATGGCATGATTATCCTCTTTTATTAACTAAATTACTTATACATATGACATACCAAACACATAAATTCATTTGACAATGAATTCTACACGAAATTTCAATGATTTGAATATAACATTACCAAACATAGGATTTTATTTGACAATGAATCTACACGGTAATTCATTTTACAATGTAATGAATTCTCGATTCATTTGGTACCAAACGGTCTATAATGGAATTTCAATCTTGGTGGTAATTAGTGTTGAAAATATAATTACCTTTTTGTAATTGTACTTTAAGTCCTTAGTCATTAGGGTTATGTAAAGTTGTATATATGTTGATGTATCTCGTGTGTACTGGGTAACAAGGCAATAAAATTGACTAGGAGAACTCTGCCTCTCCCGTGGACTAGTCCTGTTGATTAGGAAAACCACGCTAAACTCGGTGTTCTTGTTCTAAGCTTTGATTTTGACAATTAGAACAATATTTGCCATTGTAAAAGAAACTAACGGTGCCGCCTGAAGCAACTGTAGACATGTGTGAAATTTGGGGATGAAACAATGAGATTCCAGTAGGTGGAGAACAGTCAAAGAATCGAACCCAACTGCTAGATCCAAACTTACCACTAGCTAGAGCTGCTGCGCAAGGATTTTGCAGTTTCGACTGTAGAGTTTGATCGTGCCGTCGCTTTCAACATATCACTTAACCATGGAGTTCTTTGACATGAGGCCAATTCAGCTCCCACTTCCGATTTTGAGTCTGATGCACAAGCGGATGCTAGAGAGGTCGAAATCCTGGAGTTCTTCCAATTGAGCTCCCTCTTCTGATCCCAAATATGATGGTATCAGATTTGGAGAAGAGGAAGGGTAGGTGAAGGATTAGATGAACCTAGGGCGGAACTGGGGAAGCAGCAGCCGCTTTGAAGAACGGTCGAAGAAACTAACCAATAAACGCCTTCAGAGAGATGTTGTTTTGGATTTTCTGCAACATTACTGGGAGCATAATGCACAGGCGGGAGCGGTGGAGGGGAAGGGGAGGATGATGAGTCTGAGATGAGGGATGCGGGGGAGGGGGAATCTATTAGGACTCTAGTGGGCAAAACACAATTGTGGACTTGGGTTTACAAATTCGGGCGTATTGATTACAGACAGTAGCCCAAGTTCTGTAAAATATGTTCCTTCTAGCCCATGTGTGCCACCGAGAACTGAGCTGTGTAAACTAAAACGCACAGTAACATTATTGATTATTTGGGAAATGACCACAGAGCCCATCCGAAAATCACTCACAGACCAGCATTTTCAAAATGGAAAAATCCAGCTTTTTTATATTGGGAAACGGAGCGCTAAAGGGCGCTCCAACCTTTATTCATTAACATTAACCAAACGGGGATACTAACCCCAACCCAGTCATAGGACAACCAATGCGAATCTTGCTCCGACGTATCTCGATCCAAATCATCCTTGCTTCCTCAATCAGAATGAGAATCCGGTGCTTGTCATTGTCTCGGCCCTCCTCCATGGCGG